GGGGGGGGGGGAGACATGCTCCTGGGACCGGTATAAGAGCGAGCCGGCTCAGAGGATTAGTTGAGTATAACTTTTTTAATTTAAGCACCTAGACGAAAACTGTAAGTGTAGACCCCATGCACTGTAAGACTTAATAATAACTTTCCCCCGAGTTCTGGTTTAAGTGCTCATTGTATCTATGGGGTGAAAATAAAGAAGAAATACTCACCTGATCCTCGGCCCTGCCTGGCTGCTAGACCTGTCTTCTCCCCTGGGCTCCGGTGGTCTAAGGACCACTAACGTCATGACGATGATGTGAGGACACCGAGGGACATTCCAGCACCCAAGAGGTTTGAGCAGTCACTGCAACAGGACCAAGGATCGGGTGAGTATATCTGCTTTATTTATGCCCCTAGACCAAAACAAGCAATTAACCGTTTCAGCGCAGGGGTAGCACCGCACAACAAGGGTCAAGTGTTTGTTTTATCTACGGGGCGAAAATCAAGGAGAAATACTCACCCGATCCTTGGTCCTGCCTGGCTGCCAGACCGGTCCAGGGAGCCTCTTCTCCCCCTTGTTCCAGCGGTCTAAGGATGCCATTATGCCTGATGGAGGTCCATCCATTGGACGTGAGGACCTGAGGGACATTCCAGCGCTTGAGGGGGTGAGAGGTGACCGCTGGCCGCTGCAGCACCCCCGAGGATCAGGTGAGTATCTGCTTTGTTTTCGCCCTCCAGACCAAAATGAACAGTTAACCCTTGCAGTGCAGCAATTTGGGAAAACCCTGCAGTTCTTCTTTAAAGGTGAAGTAACCCCTTTAAGGCAGCAATTATCAGAAGGCAGCTTCCATCAGTTCTCTGGTTACAGGATCCCATTTTGAATAGCCACAGATATTTTTTGGAAAGCCACGCACGAGTTAATGGCATGTCGGTGGAGGAGCAGAGGCGCCATAGTCAGTGCAGGTCTGGGAAGGCAGTGAACAGGTTACTCCATCCGGTCCGCTCTAGTCGGCGGCAGTGCCGCAGCTCGTTTCAGCACCGCGGAGAGCGCAGAGCGGCTCGCTGCTGAGCAAAGGGGAGGAGGCTTATGTGGGAGGCGTACAGGGGCTGATGGGGTGGGGGGAGTGATTGAGGTGGATGGCAGGGAGATCTCTTCCTTCTACTGATGCAATAGCAGCTGAGCTGGATTCTACTCAGGACCATGAGGACCTCACTTGAATTAACAGGAGCTCTAGCTCTTCTTCTCCCACCACTATCCTGAACCCCCCCTCCATCACTAACCCTCCCCAAGCGCCGGACTGCAGCTGCCTTGACCATGGCAGGGGGTCGCAGAGGTCTGGTTGCCCCCCAAAACACCTTTTTGGAGAATATTGTCAGGAGATCTAATGGTAAGGACCGGGAGAGCCATCTCACTACTCGCCATTGTCCAGCATTGAGTAGGCATGCAGAAGGAAAATGCCATGGGATGATGATGATGAGCCAAGGGATCAGGATGTTACGCTTATTGAATACTTGCATGGGAAGTCCTCACTTTTGCCATTTAACCCCTTTTCAGCCAGCAGAGATCACACTAGGCGCAGCTGAAGCATGTGGCAGCGAAGTGGTTAAGGCATCACTGCATGGGTAATCAGCCAAAGTGAATCAGCCCATTAGAAGGTAATACAGATCTCACATTTTTTCATGACAAGGTTTGTATTGGGATGGTTGGATGGAAGGGGGGGGTCAATTGAAGTGTCTTTGGCTTTACTTGGAGGAGTGTAATAAAAAAAAAAAAAACATGCATGTTATACATGTAGAAATGATAGAAATTACACTTCATCTCTCGTTTCCTTGTTGGCTTTTTAGTTGCAGAATTTTCTCGTTTCAAACTGGATCCTGAGTCATCACTGGTCCTCTGTGACACGTGATGGGTGATGGATGCCATCCAGTATATTTAATCATGTCCTTGGTGCTGAATACTACGTTTTAATGAAGGAAGAGAAATCACACCTGGAGCAGACTTTGATCATTTTGCAATTAAGTTTGTCATATGGAATGCTTTTAAACTAGGAAGTCAGAAAGATAATCTTTATAATGTCTTGCAAGCAGTATATTTGCAGTAGATTTTATAATGGCTTGCAAGCAGTATCTTTGCAGTTCGCAGGTGACCTTTATAATGTCTTGCAAGCAGTATATTTGCAGTTTGCAGTAGCTTTTATCATGGCTTGCAAGCAGTATGTTTGCAGTTTGCAGGTAACCTTTATAATGTCTTGCAAGCAGTATGTTTGCAGTAGCCTTTTAGCAGTTGATCAGAGTTCAGCCTGCGAACATCTTAGTAAAAGATCATTTTAGATTTTGTTGCTAGTGGCTCCTGCACATTGCATAACATCTGTGCTGCAGTCTCTCTCTTCATTAAATAACCCCATAAAGTCAAAACTATAAATAAGCCATTTATTGTTCAGATATGTAAGTTTATCATTGCAGATAAAGTGGTTTTAGTTTTTTAAAACCATAACATAACCTTTAAATTAAAAGGCCAACTAGTTCTTTTGAAATGCAAATACCTTCTTTACTATTTTACTACGGCGCTGAGTAGGTTTTCTGTACAACTTACCAACCTAGATGTCATATCAAAAGTTAGCCAGTAGTGGACACAGATATTTATTTATTCATCATAATTCCTATTATTTATACCAATGGCATAGAAGCAATAGGTCATATAGACAAAGAGTCTCCACAATATCTAGTGCATGTGGTAAGATCAGTTGCCTAGGTATCTCTTTCTTCCATCACCTTTGAAACCTTTTAATCGTTATGTAATTTTTGTGATTACATTTTTCTAAGCTAGCTTTGTTGTTTGGCATTGGCTGTCAACGCGTTAATTCGTGGCTCAAAGTTGCTTTTCATTCTGGTAAGCCCGTTGCCATTTGCCTGTTTTCGTTTTGTACGAGAGAAAATGAAATTTTGATAAAGAGGGTCTTGTGTCAAATGTCCAAAGGAGTAGTGGCGCAGTGCTTTGCCAAATTTCCAAGAGACTGTACGATCTTCATGTAGATTTGTGGAACTGTGCTTATTGCAGCCAGGATGCCAAGATGCCATCCAATAAGTGACAAGACCAATGCTGTGCAGTTGCTAAAAGCAACCACTATGGTGGGGGCAGGGAAGTGGAAGGTTTCTAGTTGGTTGCTATGGGTTTTTGCACTCCCACATTGCTTTTTCTCTTTTTAAAGAGTCAGTCCTATTCCAGCTCTTGGTGGATGCTGGTTAAACCACCCGATTTAATTTGCTACATCTCTTAGGGACTGCTTGTGGGATCTCTGCTCTTGAATGCCTGCACACTTGCTGTGACTATTATGAGGGGTTCCCACTCTCCCTGCTGGATTTTTTTTATATTACAGAGAATGAGGAAGGAGGTGCTAAAGTACGCAAAGGGGGGCGGGAACACCCAAAACTCCCAGGTGGTTAGGAACAGCGTCAGGAATTAAAGAATGACGATCTTGCTGTTAAAATATGCAAGACCTAGGAAGCCATGGGGCTGACTCAGCCCACCAGGCTACACTCATAGCTAAAATATCACGTTTGGGTAGGTAACCCTCCAATTAAAGGTTTGAATGTTGATTGAAGACTTCAGCAATAGGTTTACCAATATTGTTCTGTAACCTAAAAAGCAAGAGTAATGTATGGATGATCATCCTTACCAACAGTTCATGTGTCTTATTTAATGCTCCATGAAAAACTATACATTAGATGAGCTTTGTACAGCAGCAGTATGGGTTGCTGTTGTAAATAAATCAAGATCTATCCAGTACTTAATTTAACCAGAATCATTTAGTATCTACAGGATACTTGTTACTACCCTGCCTTATAAATAGAGAATCCAACCTCCTAAAAATGTATTTGATATATTTATCCCATTTTAGTTCAGTGTGTCATTTCTACAGGTATGCACTCAAGAAGTACTATCAATGTAATCTCATGATGGTACTGAGGTTTTATAATATTTCTATGTTCCACTTGCTTTTATAGTTCCATTATATTGAAATGTGCTGTTCATCTAACAATTTAGGAGCTAAGCTTTTGTCACTTCCTCCTGTCCAGTAGGTTTTGCTCAGTTGGGTTTCATAACATTCTATATTGTGTATTCACTGGTAAGCCAATATTGGTTTATTTGCCTATTTAAGCTTGTTTGAGCCCTTTGCTTGGTAGAGGTACATAAGTACCAGCACGGATTCCATACATCTGGTTAGCAAAAGGGGGCAACCCCTGAGGTCTTTACAGATGCCAGAGTGGCAAAGTTTTGTTGAACTGAGTAGCTTGATACATATGAGCTTTTAAAGGAAACAGACAGAAACATGGGGCTGCCATTGCTGACTTCTCTTCAAAATGCTAGTTGTCTGGATTTCATGCTGATCTAATGTACTCAGTCATTTTTAAATCACTGACCCGTAACAACTATGCAGATCTGAATTGCTCTGATTTTTTTGGGGGGCCAGTAAATCAAGAGTATTAAAAATGTAAATCCAAAATCTATTTTTCAGTATGCTTATCAGTATTCCTTACTGTGCACAGTTTTCTTAAGCAAATGTTTTTGAGTTTCTTATCTGGAGATCCTGCCAGTAACAGAGCTTCCTGTTACAGGCCGACATTGCTAAGTCACATTTTAGTAGTAGCATTGTCATCCTGCCATGCGTGCTCCTTCAGTTTGCCATTGGGCTGCCTATCAGGTCTTTTAGCTACAGTGAACTATATAGAATTGCATGGCAGGCTGACAAAGCTAAGCTGCTGCCTCACAATAAGCAGCAGTGTTGTCAGCGCACCGTGCAAGTTTATATAGTTCACTATATCTGATAGACCTGATAGGCAGCCCAATAGCAAACTGAAGCAATGCGCATGGCAGGCTGATAATGCTACTACTAAACTGCAAAGCAATGGTTTAGCATTGCCTGCAACAGGATGGACTGTTACTGGCAGGATCTCCAGGTAAGAAACTTTATAACAGAGTCACACAAAAACATTTGAGTATGAAAACTGTATAGAGTGAGGTATGATGCCAAACATACTGAAAAATAGATTTAGGGCTTACTTACGTCACTTACTTTAAAGTCAGAGGATTAGTGAGTGTAAGACAACTAGGATTTTTAGAAGGCGGTCAACAGTGTCATCGTCTGTATATCTCTCAGGACTGGTTTCCATTAAATGTTTGCTTTGCTGCACCTTTAGAGGACTGGTGTCTACAGTTTGTGACAAGCCCTAATGCTGTGGCATCCCTTGCTGTCAGTAACTCCCCCACAGAGAAACAATATCTGCTGGGCTGGCGCTGTGGATCTAAAAGCCGAGCACTAGGAGCACACTGCGTGAGCCACGTATGAGCACTTAGGATGCTTTTGTGTTTTGTGAGGGCTGAATGCCTGGATTTGCCTTGAGGATTGAAGGTCAATAATGTGATTGCATAGTCCTAATTGTCATCATCACATAACCTTATCTTCGTTAAACATGGGTTCTTTTTTTTTATCTTAAAACTCAAATATTCTCCAAAAAAGAATGAAGCACCTCTTAGGAAAGCCATCTATTCTGTCTACTTACATAATTGTTCCATGCTGAGATTTGGACAAACAGCTTTCCCATTTAGTCTGTTTCTTTATTTTTTTATTTTTAACCACCAAAAATACCAGTAAAGAGAAGAGATTCAGCAAGTCAGTAGATTGGAATTTATTTTAATTTTACATTACGGCATTTAGGAGCTTGGCTTGTGTTGGATGATTCTTGTTTGCAATTGTTTGTTCCTCATAGACTCAAACATTGTAGGAGAATCTTATATCTACCTTTTCATATCTGCCAAAATGAAACATACCGTATATAAGCTTAGTTAACAAGGAAAACAACAGTACACAGCAAACAATATATTACCAAATGTCATTTTTTGACAGTTTTAAAGTGGTAAAGGTGAAAAGTGATTGGCTGCTCTGGGTAACTGCTTTTTTCATGTCATCATTAGACTCCTTTAGTAAATCAGCAAAGGCATCTCTTATAATGTAGAATCCCAGCTTTATGGAGTATGTGTGCTACTCTCCAACTTTTGATCATAGGCTGTAAGTTGTCTGTGGCACTTTTGTTTGTATGTTTGGTGGATCACTAATGATGACAAGTCCATGTTAGCTCTTATGACAGCTGGAAAGTTGACATGAATCTCTAGCAGTTTATGATGTAACCAGTATACTGATTTCTGTCGTTTTAGTATTGGTAAAGCAAGGTTTGCTGATACAATCACGATGACTGATGGGATGCATTTCTCTGTGTGTGAAAGGGAGTGTAATTATTTGTATAACAGAAGCATGTTTACATGTTCTGCGCTAATGAAATTAATTGTATCTGGAGATCTATAGTGACACAGGTGCAGGGAGAGATACAA